GATGCAATAGGACATCTACTGTATAGGTTTCTATAATTAAGTGAGATTGGAAAGTGCTAGACTAAAGAAAGTTAAATACATTTTTTACCTCAGCAGTATTCTGCCACTTTGATCTGCTAATGAGCAATATGAATTTGTTCATGGAGCATCTTGTTAAAATGAAAGTCACATAGGGAATTGTTCTCTAATCAAATCAGAATCTGGGACCATTCTAGTGGAAAAAAGAAAATGCTAATTTCTTATAACATTTCATAAGACATTACACTTAATTCATCTGAGAAAAGTAGAATGCTCGGAAGTTAAGTGTGAGGAAATCATGGTAACATTATTTATGTGTTTATTTACTTATTTATCTTCCCTTATGTCAATGGATGTCATTGGTGTTTTAAGAAAATAATGAGATTTTCTACCTAAGAGAATAGAAAAGCAGCAACTATGAAGATTGGAAGACAACAAAGCACCCGTAGGCTATAGATCCAACTTACTGTACAGAAAGCATAAGGTATATTTAAAAAACTGTTTTCTTATGAATATGTATACAGACGTGTATAAGTATAAAGGTATATGATATATGTGTGTAAAAGTATGCGACATATAAGTATACATGTCTAAGTACATGAGTGTAAAAGCATATGAACAACGGAAGGAGAACTGGCTTAGCCTATGCTTGGATAGATGTTTCTATCTAGTAGGAGAAGATGAGGGTGACCTCTTATGGGCAGGACCTCCCTTACTTCACTTTTGTAGCTTCCTCTTCTTCCGGAACTTGATACAGCGCCATTCATAGATGTAAGTGATCGAAAATCAGAATGTAAAGGTATCTTGTAATCTTGACTTCATTTATAGCAGAAGTTTTACTGAACTTAAATCTCATTTAGTTGTATATTTTTATCAGTGAGGATTACGCTTGCCTGCAAGTGCTAAAAACTTAAAATAGCAGGGATGGAAATGTATTTCTCTCAGGTGAACAGAGTCCAGAGAAGGGCTAAGCAAGGCCGGCAAGCCAGTTCCAAGATCATCAAGACCCTTGGCACAGGATTGCTACCCTTTAACCAGCCTGCAAGTATCATGTCTTTGCTGTAGCCAGCAGGACAGAGGAAAAGGAAGACAAAGCAAGCCTAACCATTTCAGGAGGATTCCAAGAATTTGCGCTTAAACCAGGATAACAGAGGGTGAGAAACGAGGTCTTTATTCCAAGCAAACATACTCAGCTATAATGTGGGATTCTATGACCTTAATATAGAAGAAAATGCACAGTACTTAATAAACTACATTCGCTAAAGAAATCAAAAGCATACACAAAACTGCAGGAGAATGGCTTTGCTACATCTTGGGAAGTGTAGCCAAGCGTTTCTCATAGGGACATTCAAATATCTCAAAAACACCGCTCAGAAAAAGAGGTCTCCTTTTTCCCTACCCTCTTCAACCCAAGTTAGAGAGTGTAGAAGAGTATTAAAAAGAGAGAACAAGCATACCCCACCCACTTCTGAAGGCTGGGTGACTGCAGCCAGGCCTAGTCTGGGGAAAGAAAATCTGTGATTTTTGAGTGAAATAAATTGCATTTGCATACAAAATTGTGCAATCTTAATTAGTAAATTATGATCTTTCTGGCATGTAAAATGACTAGAGGACTTTTTAGTAGAAACAAGAAACCAGAAATGGCATTAAGCGTGCTTGAGGTTTTTATTCAGGGACAGGAAAAGAGCTTTCCGACTTAATGAAGTTTGAAAGGATAGTGAGAAAAGTAGAGATAACTCATGATTACATGGCATGAGTATTGCTTGTAAAAGTAATGGTTGCAGTAACTACCTCACATTTTTCTTGTGAAGATTATATAAACAGAAAGGAATGTGAAAAAGCAGTATGGAGCAAGGCATAGTTAGTTTCCTTCCCTTGATTCATCCTATTCAATCAAAGAATACATATTAAATTCATACTATTTGAGAGTTGTTTTTCAGAACATATATGGTGGGAAAAAGTCATAGAAAACAGTACAAATGAACATAAGAAAATCATATCTCCATTCTCCCTGTCTGCAGAGGATCCAAATTATTTGGCTCACTACCATCTGTGGGCAGCTGCTGAAAATTTAGACGCTATTCCTGGAAGGGACGCCAGCAAACTTTAGGCTTGGAATTTAACCTAATGCTATTGACAGAGTCATCACTGCAATATACTTCTTGAGTTTTGTGAGCTCATTTAGGCATTTTTCTGTCAAAAGCTGATTCCAACCTAAATGACTCCGCACTCTACACAGATATGGCAGAAAGGATCTGAAGCCATCTCCTGAGGGTACTGAACTGGAGAGAGGCCACTTTCCATTGTGTCGTGAAAAAAATGAAAATCTTGGTTTTCCCCATTACCATGCTGAATTTGCCATTAACACTACACATTTTCTTTCTGCTCCCCTAGCTGCCTCTAAGGAGCCTACAACTTTTATCTTGAGTGACACCTAGTGGTTCCATGTAGTAACGAAAACATTTCCACTTTGAAGTTCTGGCTAAGAGATCAACAGAGAGGATGCTTGAGTTTTTCATCTTTATCCTGGCCAAAAGTCATATGAAAAACTTGACTGTATGTTACGGCAATGCAGATTCTCCTATCTCCTACAATGAAAACAGAACCGATATTTGTGCTCCCATCTCACTGATGGAATGCCAAAAATCTCTGGAAGAGAGGTGCTATTTTCTTTCAACTGTTTATGATTATAAAGCAGCTTCCTTCTCTTCTTTGGAAACTGTGGAGGTGTTACAAACAAACACTGAGGGAAAAAGAAGAGAAAACAATGCCAAAAGTTTTCATTCCCAGCCAGAGCAGAGAAATACTGTGGAGATTTTCAGATAGCAAAAAGCCAGTGGCTCACATTTTTCTGTCTGGTTTGAACTTGTGATTATTTAAAAGCAAAATGAAAACCAGAATTTGGCATTCCAGATATGAAAGCCATTTCAAAAGTATTATATAACACACTCAATTGTGGTTCTGCAGTTATTTATCTTACTCTTGTCTTTTGTTTTCTCTCTACTCATAGATTATGAAAAATTGAACAGGGTCAAAGGAATTCCCAGAGAACACAGGGATCCAATTCATTATGATTTTATTCTTCTTTTTAAATTTTAAGTTCAGAAAATAATACAGCAAACACCCTCTGTCCAGATTTTCTTTAATAAAAGAAAGAAAATATTATGGGAAAAGCTGATCTTATTTTTTTCTTCATTCCAGTCTTACTCACTATCACTATAATACATGTGGTATTTATCTTCCCATTCCATTTTTTAAAATAAAAAATATTTTGCACTGAGTAAAATATTATTCAGCATTTATTTTAATTATATAAATATTACTGTGCTATAAGCATCATTATGTAATTTTCTTTTCTAATTTTTGATAGTTATCCAAGTTTTTATATACATGATCTTAGTCTATTATTTTAACTGCTGATTTTCACTGTATGAAGAGATCACAATTTACTTAATATTAGAAGTTCTTATCCATATTTTTCTCCTATCAAAAACAATGCTGTGAAATCACTTTTGTAATGGTGGTATAAAGACTTCTGAAAGTCTGCTTCCTTATAAGAGCAATGAGAACAAAGGCAAAATTGTTCAAAATCAACTTTTTCAGAACTTGGGAATGAGTCAAAAGATTGCGATAATCTGAAGTGTGTTAATTTCTCTTAAAATGGCTGAATCTCAATAAGAATATCAAGTTTTCTGAGGTTTTAATTTGCCCTAATCTTATCTTCCTCTCCCAGCTCCATGACAACCTTGAAAACCAACAACCTAACAATGTTAGGGGCTGCAAAAACCAGAGAGGGCAGAATTATTTTTTCTCAAAATCCTCCAGGAAACCATCACTGTTTGAGCTGTTTGGCATCTCTCTGAAAAAGTACAATTCACAGAATTCGTCTTTACTTGACCTGACGCAAAGTTCATTCAGTGCAAACAGCCTTATTCTCAAAGTGTTTGTTTAAAGTAATCAGCGGCAATTTGTTTAACATTGCAGCTTCTTGAGGTAGAAATACCAGGTGTGGCAAACAAAAAGCTGACTAAAATACTTAAAAGAAAAGATTGAAGTATGAGAGATCCACAGGGGGCTTCGAAAGCTCTGAGATATTCCTCATTTAGAAAGACACATTCAACTTCAGGGCTCCACACATGCCAAGGAAAGAACTGAGAAGGCCCTAATTTTTCACTTCTGTCTGACCTTCAGGCTCTTTGCATTCAGGAAAAAAAGACTAAGGCAGAGTTGTAAACTGCTAAAAGTGCTGGAAACACTCCACAACACATATGCGCATGTACACACACACACACACACACACACAGAGAGAGAGAGAGAGAGAAAGAGACAGATAGAAAGAGAGAGAGAGAGAGAGAGAGAGAGACACACACGGGGGGGGGGCGGGAGAGAGAGAGAGAGAACAGGAGAGAGAGAGAGAGAACTTCTTGGCAAAGGCTGGAAGACTTGCTAGTTCAAAGCCTTTAAAGAAATTTATTTCCAGTTGTTATCTAGCCACAAAGTTAACTAAATAGAGAATTCAGTGGCCAAACAAGACAAATAATATAGACGTTACACAATTAGCTCATGAAAGTTGCTAGATTCATAAAATGAAACCAGTAGTTACAACAGACCCTGCAGTGGGTGGAGGGGTCAATCTGGTTTGCAAAGCTGTCATACTATATCATTTAAAGTCCACATTTCAATGAAAATTATAAAATTGTGGCACAGGAAAAGAAAAAGGAAAGTATGACCCACATTCAGGAAATTAAAAAGCATTCAATAGACACTGAGAAAAATCATATGTTGAACTTATTCGATTTGAAGAAATTCTTATAAATGTGCTCCAAGAACCAAAGAAAGCCACGTCTAAAAAAACTCAAAGAAAGTATGAGAATGATGTCTCTATCATCAAAGAGAAAATAAAAAAGATAGAAATGATACAAAATAACCAAACAGAGATGCTGAAGTCGAAAATACGATAATGGAAGCGAAAACTCTGCTAGAAGATCTCCACAGCAGGCCGCGAGGAGCTAGCTCGCGTGTGCAGGCCGGAGATCGGCGCGGGGGTCAGCGCCTGGGCGATGAGGGGCCGGCGCTGAGCGGGAAGAGCGGGCACCGCGGCGCGGCTCGGAGGGGACCCTCAGTGGCAGCGCCCCGGGGGCAGGCCCC